TTTTTTTTTTTTTTTTTTTTTTTTTTTAAAAACACGCCCCCCCCCCCCCCCCCCCCTTCTTATGATTATCCCATCCTTCTTCATTGTCAGTTAGTTCGGCAAATTCCCGAATCCAGTCATGACGGGTATTGTAAACACTCCCCCCCCTTTTCATCAATTCCCCCATAATACATACATAGTATCAGTGAAAAGAGAAACATGATGGAAAAAGACACAAGAAAGAATAGAATGCCACCCACCCTTTGACTTTCCCGCCACACCATCCCCAAACTAAACCACATGCCACGAACCCCATCAGTCACTTACACCAAAAAGAAACAAGGAAAAGCGAGTCACACAAAGACCCAGCATCCTCCCCTAGAGCTGACAAGGCAGATCCCACCACAATGTATTCCCGTCTTCCAACCAATTCAACCCTCGCGTGTCATCTGTAGCCACCATCCGCTCAGCGTATTGGCCCGTATTCGCTGCCGCTGCCGGGCAGTCCCACAGCGAGATGCTCAACGGCCTCCTGACGCCTTGCATAAAAGCCCCCACGAGGGGTCCAATCGATATTGCTTGAGGCTCTGCTTGCCGGCACAGGAAGCCGCAGCCTTGTGGAAAATCAAAGCCAACAAGGAACGGGGGCCTGTTTCAGGTCTGTCAAGAGGCAAGATGGACTCTTGCGAGGCTCTGTATGCTGTATCATAGTAGGGGGAGGCTTTGACTACATGTTTCACAATCTCTTTCACTTATGCCAGTGCCGCGATGCTGCGTGGGTTTGGGTGCAAACTCATGCTTCATTTCTATGTATCCCATCCTTCCCCATCCTGTCTATGCAAATGATTTTTTTTTGGGGGGGGGGGATTCTTTGGTATCGCGACAAAGGCACATATTTACCATGGCCCAAAGGAAAAAAGGAGAACGAAAGACGAGAATAGAGACAAAACAATAAAGGATCCTCTAGACGTGGAGGGGACTGTGCCTAGACCCTGTACTAATAAGAAAAAAAAAAGAAAGGGTGTATATCAATATTTTCCCAAACAAGTCCTATCCCCAAAACAGACAAAAAACAAGTCATCAACGAGAGGAATAGTTAATCAAAGTCAACTGCAGATCCATAGTCCGTACAGAACAAAAAGAAAGAATACTAAAAAAATTTAAAAAGACAACAGGCCACACTGTTCACTCCTCAGCATCTGGGGTGGCCATTCTGTACTCCGTCTCTCCCTTCAGGGGTTCACAGAGCTCCCACCCAACCTCGGTCCTCTTGACAATACGAATGTCAGCGCGCTGCGCCCACTCAGTCAAGACGGTGTCATGAGCGCCTCCAAACTCGACGGCAGGCTCCCGGCCGGCAGCTGCATTGTCAAAGTGCTGCTGGGCCACGTGCTCCATCCGCTCGTCCCAAGCGGTGGCCCCGGTGAAGGACTTGTCGCACGCCTGCACGGGGCAAGGCATCCAGGTTGGGAGTCTGCATCTGATGCGCAGGGCATCTTCCTGCATCTTCTTGACCATGAGGTCAGATCTGGCATCTGCGCCCCTGTAGTCTGTAGTGCCCTGGCCAATGACGGAGGCGTGCATGCGCCGAATGTGCTGGGTGTAGAGGTCCTTGCGGTTGAAGATGTTGCCAAACGATGGCAGGCCCGCGTATCGCTGGTAGGCCGACTGCCGCTCGTCGGCGCACTTGCCCTCTGTGCAGACCCAGTACTTCAAGCCGAGATGCTTGGTGCTAACGTGGCGCTTCCATTCGTTCTTTGCGTCGAACCTGGCGTTGCAGCCGGCATAATGGAAGACGCAGATGTAGGGGCGGGGGTGCTCCGAGCCTGTGTGCTCGTCGAGGGACGTTCGGCTCGGGAAGTTCTTCTTGCACTTGTGGCAGAACCTCTTGTTGGTAGTGTGGATCCTGCGCTTCTTGTCGCCGCTTGGCGAGGACTCGTGGTCAGGAGAGGCCCGCTTGCACGAGCCTGTCTCGGTGTGGCATCGTGAGGCGCGAGCACGCCTCCTTGCAGGGACCCTGTTGGCAAAGAACCTCTCGTCAAGGGGTGGGGTCTGGCTCTCTTCTTTGATGCGTCTGGTCGAGTTCACGTAGGGCAGCGTGGTGTGGAGAGGATATTGTCTGGTGCCGGCGTCGACAGCATCAATGTGGCCGGCGTCGTGCGTGGCAACAAGCGTCAAGGGGCTGGCACCAAACGTGCACGAGTCGTTGAGCGCAATGATTCCCATGGGATAGAATGTTGTGCTTTCCTGAGGGCATGGATAGTAGCTAATCTCCTGTGGCTCAACTGAGCCATCGGAGTCGTATGGGCTGCCGAGCGACATGATCTGCGCGTCTGGCGGAGTGGGAGGGTCCACCATCTCAAAGTTGCCCTCGCTGCCAAGGGATGGGCTGCTTTCAATGAAGCTGATGGGGTATGGCGAGTCATTTGGTCCGCATGAATGCTGGTACATGTTGGAGGCGCTGGACGCGAGGCTGGGATCGAGGTATGCCACGTCCCATGAATGCTGGTGTCCGTCTGAAGAGCTCGAGTCTTGCAGCAGGGGATCAATTGGCTGATGGTGATAGAGACCGTCGTCATGGATGTGTACATGGGACACCGAGACGGATTGGTCATAGTCGTAATAGACCCGGCCGCTGTTGTCAACGCTGGGCGCGGAGAAAGGAGGAAGAGAAGAGGTGGAAGAGGAGGAGTTTTGCGCAGCCATGTCGATAATTAGGCGTGTCTGTCTTCTTTATTTTCTGAATAACGGAAAAAGTCGAAAGCGGCTAAACTGCACTTTCGAGCAACAAGGGTTGGTATGAGGAGGGTGGATTGGCTCTCAGCTCAGGGTGCAAGGGGTAGGTTGATGAGTGACGAGGCAAGGGGGGCCATATAAGAGCAGAGCAGAGCAGAGCAGGGTATTGGTATTGGCTCTTGCCGTTGCTTGAAGAGAGAATGAAGAGATGGTGGTAGCACGATGCTTGGTCTACTAATGGGAGTAGAGTGGCTCGTCGATGAAGATGAAGGACAAAGCTGAAGAAGATGAAGACGAAGACGAAGACGAAGCAGATGAAGAGGATGGAGGAGAGAGGAGGAGTAAAGGCAAATAGATAGTGCAAGGTGAATCTGGCTGTTGAATAAATACCGATGTGGTCAGGAGGAGGATGGAGAGATGATCCAAGGCCCCAAGAGGATGGGACCTCGGGGCCTGTTATATGTACCTCCCGTCCTTGGCTATGGATCGGACCAAGATCCATCTACAAGTTAGTTCGTCGTTGGTAGAGGTAAGTGGTACGCCGGACGACGAGAGACATACAGAGCCTCACGGACCAGAGCATTCATGGATAGGTAGATAGTCGATGCATTGGATTGGTAGGCACGATTGGGTAGGATTGACACACTCCCTCGCACACGCCCCCCGGCGGGCTTAGGGTGCGGCTGCGGCTTGGGATGGAGCTGTGGGCACATGGCCCAGATGCGGCATGGCGCTGGTGTCTGCCCGCCCGAGATTCGACGCACACGCCCATGGTGACGATGTCTGTGAATTGCTTTGGGCTCAGCCGGGGGGCGAAGCGTGCGGTGCATCTGCAGATGGGAAGATGGGGGCTCTGGCAGAGACGATCTGGGTTCTGGCTCTAGTCCTGGGCCTGGTTCCGCGGTCCTGTCTTCGTACGGTACCCGCCCATGGGATTGTCCCGTACCAAGCTAGCCTCCTTGGTTGGTGCTGTATTATGTGCCGGATGACGGAGGGACTGAAGCCGTTCTTCAGCGGCACTGCATTGTTGTTGGTCAACGCGGACGTTGAAGCCGTTTGGTCGAGCCTAGATTTGTAGGTATGTGCACTCGTATGTTGGGTACCTGGCCTAAGAAGCTAGTATAGGTAGTTAGAGTGCGCGTGTTGCTTCAACTTTTCCAAATCCATGATCAAAGTATAGTAGGTACGTGTATCAACCATACCTTGGTAGACGTGGATCGAAATGTGAAGCATGGAGACGAGCGGCGCTGCTTTGTGCCGGGATCACAACCAACAGCTTGCATCATGTCCTGGCACAAGAGCACAAAGGCACTGGCCGGCAGGCAGACACACAAGGCACATGCAGCCTCTACATCATACCTACACATACATGATACATGATGCTACCGCCTCGCCTCGCCTCGCAGAACAGAAGATGGGAGCAAAGAATAGCATCAATGGCAGGCCATCAGCGGTGGAGCAGGTGGTGGCCGAAAGCTGGCCGGCTGGCGCTGCAACTCGGAGCTAGAACTGGAGGGGGCCTGGGCCTGGCATCATGGCTGGCATCATGGCTGGCATCATGGAGCGGCCAGTCGCAGGCGAGGCGCCAGAATGTCGGCGCATTGGACAAGCGCAACGCTTGCGCAGCCAAAAGTCTGATGATCCTCTTCGACTCCATGTCTCTGCCCCAGAATTCGGACCCCCCCCTTCTCTGGTGGTAGCACTTTGGTAGCCCTTCTGGTAGTGCGCATGCCAGTGCTAGCGGCGGCGGGAGAAGAAACAAGGGGTCCCGTCCGAGTTTTTAGCCCCCGGATTAGTGCTTCCAGTGTTTGGTTTAGCCCGGAAAAGGGAACGTTGGAGGAGGAGACGCGACCGAGTTTGGAGAAGGGATGTTCAGGTTGTTGGTTGGAGATGGATGGGGGCAAAAGGCAATGGAGAGGCAGAGAGAGGGACAGAAGAGAGACACCGCACTGGGCAGAAAAGAGACCAGACGGGACGGAGCAGATGCGCACCCGCTTAGTACTCAAAACCTCTACAGCGCTCTACAGTGCTCTAACGGTGATGTCCAGTGATGTCCAGTGCTGTAACTTGTAGCGGGGCCCCACTCCCAGGTGTTCGGTAGCACAAGCAAAGTTGAAAGTTGAAAGTCGAGTGCTCACTTTGTCCAGTACTGTAGGCACTGACCCCCTATTGCACTCCAGCTGGCTCATCCATGGACGTCAATTCCACCCGTGGATGATGCATCGATGCTCGCAGGGTCCTCATCGAGGTGGCTGATCGAAACCGATGTGTCAAATCATGGATGCCTTTTCAGCGCTACAGGCACCGCCGACAAAAACCAATAGTCTCCTTCTTAGCACCGTCACCATCGCCATCGGGCATCGCAGCCAAAGCACACGAGCAGCTCGTACGAGTACCAGCCAGCACATGCTTAGCCCTACCGGTACCTACTCGCACTTGTGCATATCCGACACGGTCCAAACAGGCATTGAAATCTCATCTCCCCACTGAAACTTGACCGGGGCACATGCGAGAGTGAGCGAGAACCCCCAATTGGGGCCATCGCTTCATCCCGACGCGCGCGAACTCGCACCGAACGGAAACCCTGGCCCCTCGAACCTTGCGAAAACTTTTTTTTGTGCTTTGCTTTGCTCTCTCCGTGCTCCTAGTCCGTCTGTCAACCTCTAGCGGCCTTGACCGGTGTGGGGGCATATGCGGGAGAGCAGGGGGGTTAGAAATAAGACAGCCCAGCCCAGCGAACTAGGGAGCGGTGCGCATCGTCGTGATGGGGCATCAAGAAGGGACCTGGAATTGACTAACGTCGTCGGCAAACCTCCATGCCTTGTACGGGTACTTTATCGTATCGTGTCGTATCGTAGAGTAGAGTAAAGAGCACGCAACGCACTCGGGTTTGCGTTTGGAGGGGGGAAGCGAATGAGTCAAGCTCGCCCCATGGCTGCTGCGTCTGACCAACATCCTGATAGATATGTAACATACAGGCAGCAGTAACATCAGCATCACCGTATATGTAGGTACATTGCATCGTTGGATCACCAAGTTGCACAGTATCACAGCTTCAAGGTAGCATCGCCGCTGCGAGATGATGATGGCATCAGGAACGGCATCAACATCAACATCTCTCTCTCCCCCTCTGCCTCTAACTCGAGCACCTGCGTCCGAGAGGGTGGGTAAGAAACACGACAGCTGCGAAGAAACGAAACACCCCTGGCGCGCTGAAGCGTACAGTAAGAGAAAAGAGGGCTGTAAGACGCAAAAGAAACAAGAGGTGCAGCAATATGAGAGAGAGAGAGAGAGAGCTGATGGAGGGGAAGAAGATCGAGCTTGTTGTGTTCCGCTTTTTTCTGCTTGTGTGACAAAGGCCAGCCCTCCGCCCTTTGCGGTTACGGAAAACGCATCGCAGGCGTAGAATGGCGGAGAGAAAAAAGAAGCACCACTTTCGGCGTGCAGCAGAGATGAGATTTGGCCAGCTGCAAGAGAGGTCGCATCACATCGGGTGCAGCGTGTTGCTTGTGGCACTACTGTAGGCGTGGCCGTGAGTGGCGCCTTTTCTTTTTATTCTGCTGCCTGTCCTATCATCTGCGGTCTGGTGGCCCATCCGCTCGGAGCGCCGAGATTGGTTTTGTTACAGGTGGTTTTTTTTCTTGGTGGTGGTGGTGGTGGTGGTGGTGGTGGTGATGATGATGGTTTCTTTGCGTTTTCTCGAGTCTTTCTTCTTTTGATGCAATTGTGGCTGTGACGCAGGGTTCATGGCGAGGGGGGGGGGGGGGGAGGGGCGTTGCGAGACCCTGCAATGACGACGATGACGATGATGCCCATTCTCTCTCTCCCTCCCACTTTCACTTGTCTGCTTGTCTGCATGTATATCAAATCGATGGCATCTCCGTGATGGCGATGATGATGATGATGATGATGATGGCGATGGCGATAGTACCAATATTCGACCTTTCACACAATGTAAGCAGCTGGTCCCGATGCCTCCACGGGTTCTGACCATCATGTAACCCCAAACCTCCCATATCGAGTCCAACCAGCCGCTGCACTGTCTGTACAGTATACGATACGCACGAGGTCACCCAAGAAAGTTTCTTCTCCTTCTTCGGTCTCCTCCCAGCTCCCAGATCGGCGAGCAAAAGCGACAATTTCGACGTATCAACAGCGTTTCCCGCCGCAATGCCCTGCCTGACTCGCCGAAGACGCTGCAGGCCATGGAGCCAAGCTGCAGCCGCCCTTCAGCCCATCGTCGGCACGCCCGTGGCCTCGAATCTCTTTTCGGTCCAGTCCCCCCAATCCCCCAATCCCATCTCTCCGCATCCAACCTATCAACACCCGCCATCCCACGCATCGTTTTCTCTAGTGCAATCCTTTTTAGCTTCCAAGTGCTGACCCCCCGTCGCCGGACCCCACGCGCTCAAACTCCAATCACACTGGAACGTCAAAAACCCCTAGACAGATGCCGCCGCCTGTGGAGCGATGGGAGGGGCGCCGGATATCGATGGATGGCTCCCCGGGGCTGTACCTGAGCCTGCCCTGGCCAGTGCGCGCTGTTTGAGGGCAGAAAAACCGCCGCCACGGAGCTGTTTTGGAGTGGTTGATGGTGGACTGGGAAAATACGAGCACAGGCCATGGATAGAGTGCTGACGGGACGTGGTAATATTGGTTATTGTATCCATGCGACGAGCAGCTGGAGACAGGCATTGGAGCTGCAGCTGCAACAGAACATGGAAGGGGAAACCGAAGACCTGGAAGCAATGGAAAGCGAAAAAAAAAATTAGATTGCTTGCCTTGTACGATGCTAGCACCGCCGCCGTTGGAGCAATTGCTGTGCGTGATATCCGTGGATGGCAAATGACGAGCACGATACGATGCTCTCCCGGCTTATGTTATGTTAGTTCCCCCTTACATGGCATCCACCCAATCCATAATGATCCATCCTTTGGATTGAAACATCAACGCATCACTCATCGGGGCCC